ATCCCCTGGAATCGCTTCTTGGTTCAAGTTATCTTTTTCTTTCTCCTAGGTTGTGGATCTGGTCAGAAAGAGTGGGAACTCCGTGACTTTACTAGTCCTGGATGGGGATTCCTATGAGAAGGCCATGAAAAAACGGGTAGACCTGAAAGAGTTGGGTCAAAGTCGGAAGGAGCCGAGTTTGAATGATAAGAAACTGCCCCCTGTGGTGAAGGAAGGAGCAGAGACTTGGACGCAGCCGCGTCTCTGCTACCTGGTGAAGGAGGGGAGCAGCTATGGCTTCTCTCTGAAAACTGTCCAAGGTGGGCTTGAGGGCAGGATTTCCAGAAGAAAGATACTGTTATTGGCTAATGGCTTCTTTGACCACCTTTTCAGATGCTATGGCTGTCTAATTGTAGCTTCTCCCTCCCCTCTCCCTCCTTCCCTGACCCTTCCCTTGCTTTGACTATTGTGCAACAAGGGATCAAGACACTGGACCCATCACGGGGTGACGAGGGGCCACTGGGCACTCCTGTCCCCTAGTGTTAGGCTGAGCTTTGAGATCAGAGTGTTAGAGGGCTGATGCTTCTTTGTTATTCTTTCCTAGCTTCTTTAGGGTGAGGGTGGAGGGGAGAAGGGGGAATAAAAGGCAAGAAAAAGGAAATTTTTCATAATAGCTACTTTTGAGTAAGGATGCTGTCTTTCCACTTCAAGTGCCCAGGTGATCACACATTCAACAAATTCTTGAGGGCCTGTTGATGTGCCAGACACCATTCTAGTGGCTGAGGATGCTATTAAAAATCCCACCCTCCTGGGGTGCCTGGGTGGCTCAGTCGGTTGAGCATCCAACTTCGGCTCAGGTCATAATCTTGCAGTTCATGAGTTTGAGCCCCGTGTCGGGCTCTGTGCTGACAGCTCAGAGCCTGGAGCCTGCTTCGGATTCTGTGTCTCCCTCCCTCTGCCCCTTCCCCGCTCATGCTCTGTCTCTCTCTGTCTCTCAAAAATGAATAAACGTTTAAAAAAATTTTTTTTTAATAAAAAAAAAAAATCCCACCCTCCTATGACATTTAAATAGTACCTTCTCAGCTGTGGCCCAGCCTCAACTGCTCTGAGGTACATCCCTGACCTCTGAGAGGTACATAGTGATTTGAAAACTCCTGACCACCAGAAAGTACTAGAAGCTCTGTGTGTAGAGTTTCAGAGATACAGACGATGCAATTGACTGTGGTTCCGTAATGGTGTCTCTGGGATTTAGAGCCACAGAGGCTACTGGTTCCACTTTGAATTTGCTCCTCCCATGTTCCTTCTGATACTGGAGAGGCACTGGTCATAACTGGGTAAGTGATAAAGAACAGACCAATAGTAAACATAAAACTTGTTTCCAACGCCTATTTAACCTATAGCAAGAGATATAAACTAGGTAGAAGAGGCATTTCTCAAGTTTGTCTGCTATTAAACATAGTGGTGTAGGTGGTCAAGGGAAGCCTGGCATTTCTTAGAAGTCCATTATCAGCAAAATGGTAAAAAAATTATAATTCAGATTCAATCCATTTGGCCCTTGTGTTAGTGAACATAATGCATGGTTTAAATGAACTTTATGAAGAAAATGTTTTCTACATGACAAATATATAACAAGAGAAATTGTAATGGGAGAAATTTTAAGACAGCAGTTTCTACTGTTATTCCTTACAAGTGATTTATTTTGTCATTATGAAGCTGCCCTTTGCCTAGGTTGAAATATTAATATCTTGAAAGAATTGATATCATTTCTCTATCTCTACCTCTATCTCTATCTCTATCTCTATCTCTATCTCTATCTCTATCTCTATCTCTATCTCTATCTCTATTTGTATCATTTCTGTATCTAGCTGCCTTCTGTGGCTCTGTCCTCCTAGGCTTGCATCAGTGAGATTTGGTGACCTCATTGGTACAGGACGGTTGGTGATAGAACTAATTAAAGAGGACAGGGGGCACCTGGTGGCTCAGTCAGTTGACTGTCCGTCCAACTTCGGCCCAGGTCATGATCTCACGGTCTGCGTTGGAACCCCACGTCGGACTCTGAGCCCTGACAGCTCAGAGCCTGGAGCCTGCTTCCGACTCTATGTCTCCCTCTCTCTCTGCCCCTCCCCTGCTCACGCTCTGTTCTCTCTCTCAAAAATGAATAAACGTTAAAAAGAATTAAAAAAAAATAAAAGGACAGAATGGAACAGATGCTTTCTAATTCCACAAATGCGAAGAATGGGAGTGTGATAGCGATACAGCCCGGGCACAGCTCGGTGCTTTTCCGGTTCAAAAGGCCAGTGCCACCTGAGATTCCTTCCTTGCATTTAGTTGGGGTCGGAAATTCTATTAGAATCAACAAAACCCAACAAAGCTCCTAGCACAAAGCCAGGAGCTGTAATTATAATTCTAGATCAGAAGGCAAAGTTAGCCTTAAAATTGGAGGTTGTAATTTTTACGTTATTGGGAGGAAATCCTTATTGTTGGACTTTCTGTGTGATGGAGTTGTGATGATGGTCCACTCCCTTTCAGGCAAAAAGGGAGTGTACATGACTGATATAACACCTCAAGGTGTGGCTATGAAAGCTGGTGTCCTGGCTGGTGATCACTTGATTGAAGTAAATGGAGAGAATGTAGAAGACGCCAGCCATGAGGAAGTCGTTGCAAAGGTATAGCCCAAAGGGGCACTTTTCTTACCTTTCACTCTCCTCCTATTGGAAGTGACAGGAAGACAGGAGTGGTAGTTTATGATGGAAGGAATATAATGATGGGAAGCTAATCCTTTGTTTTCAGAGTGAATAGACTCACTAGTGGTGTCAGCAGGGTTAGCATAGGGTTTTGGAACAAGGCTAGTTTCGTGTTATTTCAAAGAAAAGTGTTCTAAAGAACTGTCAGCTTTATCTTTTGGATCTTTTTGTACCTGATTGGGAGCTCCGTCTGAATTTATAACAAATTGAGTGTTTCACTAAAATGTTTTAGCTCAAGCTGGCAGATAACCAATGTGATGATGAATATAGAGCTACGTGTAGGAGGTGTTGGAAGACCTGTTACCCCAGGTCTTATGTCCTGGGTCCATGACACATGGATTATGCTCTCAGGTTTTCCTTTGAGGTCACGTGGAACCATGAAAACTGACCAACTTCTCCTGGTAGAATAATTTTTCACAGTAGACCTTTACCTTCTTTTCCAAACTCCTTCTCTAGACGTAAGTACTTCGCTTAAGTACCTTTCTGGGTTTTCTGAATCCCAGCTCTCACTTGGGTTCAGTTCGCATCTGTGTGGGTGAGGTCATACTTAACAAAGGGGAAAACAGCTGTAGAAGTGGGGATCGAGAAATCCCAGGGAGATCAGGAGGTAGTGTTATAGTTCAAACTCAGGCCTCACATTGCATATTTTCTGTCGAACCTAGAGACTGTGTGCCTCTGCGCAGAAGCTCTCCTCCTCCCCCATGCCGTTCTTGGAGACCGCTGTCAGTCTTACTGTGTGTGCTGTTCCAGGTGAAGAGCTCTGGAGGCCGCGTCATGTTCCTGCTGGTGGACGAGGAGACTGACAAGCTCCACACCGAGCAGAAGACCAGATTCAGGAGAGAGACGGCCAGTTTGAAACTGCTACCCCACCAGCCCCGTCTCGTGGAGATGAAGAAGGGGAGCAATGGCTATGGTTTCTACCTGAGGGCAGGCCCGGAACAGAAAGGTGAGGCGCTAGACGAGCAGAAAGTGTGGCAGTGGAACCAATTGAACAATGAAGTCCAATTCTTCATCCTAGTCCGACTCCAGAGTTCTGTTAGGCCTCCAACTTCCTAGCTGCTGCACGAGGAGATAGTAAGAAACTAGAAGGCATAGCCGGGTCATTTTCCATGGGGGCCTGACAACGGGTCTCTCAGGTTTTCCTTAGCAGAATGATAAAGCAGAATTTTAGATCTGGGCGGTAGTGTGCTGTAAATTTGCTCTCCGGGGGGAAAAATTCCACCTAATTTGTAGCATTTGTTGATCTATTTTATTTTATTTTATTTTATTTTATTTTATTTTATTTTGGTGGTGCAAATACTCCCATTACATCTGATTTCAAGCTACCAATGTGCTGTCACAGAGTGCAATGTTGAGAAGTATTGGCGAGAAAGGGTTCTCACGAGCCTGGACGAGCCAGCTCCGGTACGCCACCAGATCCGAGGCAGAGGTGTGGGCTGGGGCCTGGGAATCCAATAGAACCAGGAATCTTTCTGATTCCTTGCAACTCAACAAGAAAAGAACTACATTCCTTCTAGGGAAGCTGAATATATAAAAGAACGCAGCTTCAGGCCATTTTGCAAACTGTTATTCTCCTAGAAGTTGCTATGTTCTGTTCATTATATTTGAATTAATCGAATGTTAATTTGATTCATATTATATAAAAGCATCCTCAGGGCCTTCTAGAATATCAAGTGGATCAAATAGGAGTTCTTCAGTCAAGGAGCCTCCTGTTTAGTAGAGGAGATGCAATACTTATGTCCATAACTGAAGGTAGTTGTGAGGAGAACCTTAATATGGGTTAGATAAAATACTGTTGGAATTCAAGGTTGGAACACATTTTCCTTACTAAAAAAGTACAGGAAGACCTCATTGTAGAGATGGCACCTGAGCTCAGGCTTTGAAGTATGAATAGAATTTGGACAAACAGATGGTGTGGGAACAACGCAGGCCATTCCATTAGGATGGGATTGTGTGAATAAAGCAGGGAAATATGGGCACAGTTTGGCATCTGAGGTGTAGCACAGGAAACCATGTTAGAAAGGTAGGTTGGGAAGAGATGATGAAGGGCCTTTAATACCAGGTCGAAGAGTTTAGACTTGGCTCTGTGGTCGATGGGGAGTTAAAAGTTTTTTCAACAGTGTGATAAGAAAAAATTAAGCCTATAGCACCTTGGGGGCTTATGCATCTCAAACACAATCCTAATAATTCTGCAAGAAGAATTTCTGAACTTAAGGGCTTGGAGAAGATACAGTAATTATTATAAAGTCAAATAGTTGTGGTTTAACTGGGACCAAACTCAGGTCTGTTCTGTTCTTTTTTTTTTTTTTTTAATTTTTATTTTTTAATGTTTTTATTTATTTTTGAGACAGTGACAGAGCATGAACAGGGGAGGGGCAGAGAGAGAGGGAGACACAGAATCCAAAGCAGGCTCCAGGCTCTGAGCTGTCAGCACAGAGCCCGATGCGGGGCTCTAACTCATGCACCGTGAGATCATGACCTGAGCCGAAGTCGGATGCTTAACCGACTGAGCCACCCAGGCGCCCAGGTCTGTTCTGTTCTAAAGCCCACACTCGTGCTGTTGCCCCAGGGAATGACTTGGTCCGACATTGCATCAAGAAGAATCTGAAGGCAGATCTGTATTGGAGAAGACAGAGATCAGGGACAGGGAGAGCAATTCATAACTGAAGGTAGGTAGAGTTTAAGGCAGGAACTAATACCACCTGCATTGAGGGTAGAGGAAGTGGCTCCAGAGAAGAGGAGATATGTCAAATATTAAGGCAGCAACAAAGGACCTAGGAGTTGATTGGAATATGGGGAGTGGACACTGAGGAAGAATTGTTCCTACGTGTCAGTGACTGGAGTGATGGTGCTCCCATGAACAGGTGACCTAGAGGAGGAGCTTTGGGATGGGGGTGATGGGCAGAGATGGCTTTTGGTTTGAGTATGTTACATTTGAGGGATCTATGGGATACCTAGTTGGAGATGCCCAGCAGCCAGCTGGAAGAGTGAAACTGGAGCTTGTTACAAAAGTGGGAGGGACAACAAAAAAGACAGTGTGGGAGATCTGAAGGCGTCTGGTAAAGACAGTTCAAGTCGGGAGAGGAAGGCGGAAGACACATTGTCGAGGCACGCCCACAAACACATTCACAGTCAAATACACCTAGTGGCTACTAAAATGCCAGCATGGGTTTCCTAGGCTCTGTCTTCTTTGGTTTTGTTCTTCTTTCTTCTTTCAACCCCCCTTTTAATGGCTTAGCTTCTCCATAAGATGTATGGGTTACAAGAGCTTCCTGGGAACTAGCTGACTCCTAATACTTAGCATGTTATTTTGTCAAGATTGAGCCTCAGACACTTTTTTTTTTTAAATTTTTATTTATTTATTTAATTAATTTATTTATTTTTTTATTTATATATGAAATTTATTGTCAAATTGGTTTCCATACAACACCCAGTGCTCATCCCTAAAGGTGCCCTCCTCAATACCCATCACCCACCCTCTCCTCCCTCCCACCCCCCATCAACCCTTAGTTTGTTCTCAGTTCTCAACAGTCTCTTATGCTTTGGCTCTCTCCCACTCTAACCTCTTTTTTTTTTCTCAGACACTTTTAGTAACATGATTTTTTTTCCTTAAGGTCCTTTCATCGGTAATGGCTAAGTTTGTTCCTGGAGTAAGTTCTGGGCAGGGAATGAGGCTGGATAGGGTGCTCACAGGCTTTCTCTGATGCCAGTGGGAGGGGCAGTAGTATTCAGCATGCCTTTTACATTTATTTATCAGATCCTTGGGCTCCAGCAGAAATGCCACAGTTTAATTTAGGGATCTTTCTGATAATTTTATTTAATTTTTTGGGAGGGTAGGTCAAGTCGTCAAGGACATAGATTCCGGAAGTCCAGCAGAGGAGGCCGGCTTGAAGAACAACGACTTGGTAGTCGCTGTCAATGGCGAGTCTGTGGAATCCCTGGATCATGACAGTGTGGTGGAAATGATTAGAAAGGGTGGAGATCAGACTTCGCTGCTGGTGGTGGACAAAGAGACGGACCACATGTATAGACTGGTAAATAATTCAAGGCCACGCATTCGTGCATTAAGGTTGGGTCCATTCCCTCAAGTCCTCAAACTTTGGCTAAGTTACCACTTTGATTTTCAAACTGGAAGGGGTGTAACGGTCATCATTAAGGCTGCATTGAAGGTCAAGTTGGTAGTGACAAGAGAATGCCAAGTGATTGGTACGTGAGTTTTAAATCCTTAGATTCAAGATTTTGAAAGAATTTGCGAATGTAACTACAGAATTACTCTTGCTGATCTGAGAAAAATCTACGAACATTACCCTGGAAATAGGCAGATATAGCCCTAACTGTGCCAAATAGCAAACAACTGGATTTTAAACTATAGACCAATAAATGCCATTAACCCTGCATAAAAGCCTAGAAAGGATTATTAAATAGCTCCTGAGCCCTTAGCAAGGGAATAGAAACATGGATTCACCAAGACTAACATTAGTGTCACACTAACCTTATTTGCTCTTAACTTTTAATCACAACAGGTGTTACCTGCATGTCTTTTTTTTTTTTTTAATAATCTTTTAATTTTATCACAAGAACTGAGATTCGGTCTAGTTTAAGAGACATTCAGGGGCCTTCGATGTACCATCCGCCTTGCTAGGTGGTGGTCACACAGATGAACAAAGATGAACTTATTCTATGTGATATACAATAATGGCAGCATCCAAAGGTACATAAATGATAGCGAGGAATATGATAGGGGTGGTATTAGCCCCTTTTTACAGATTTGCAATTTCCTAGTCTCTCTAAACTTCATTTTTTTAAGTCACCCATCCCAGCCGGTATTTGAACCCAAGTTGTTTTGCTGAGTGCAGGGCTTGAACTCACGACCCTGAGATCAAGACCTGAGCTGAGATCAAGAGTCGGATGCTTAGCTGACTGAGCCACCCAGACACCCCTGAACCTAAGTTCTTAATTCATTCCACCATATTCCCTCTCAGCACATCTTGATTAGGTATTTCAAGATACTTGTGTAAAGAAAATTGAAGGGTAAACTGGATGATAGAAGGATTTGTGGGTTTTTAGCTAGTTTGCGGCCATACTTGAAGGATAATTGATATTGGAACAATGTCTTTCTGCATAGATGTCTCCAATGGTATTCTGCGTATCCTAAGCTGTTTATAATCCAATTTGGAAACATGGAAAATGTTTAACATACTTTAGTCATACAGATGGCTTAATGTGTTGATGGGTAATTAATTTACTAGAGATTATAATATTCAAAATATCCAGTCAGGATAGAAAGAAGCATAAAAACTAGTAAGTTTAACTTTAAACAGGAATAAATTTCACATACTAATTTAAAACTAAATTGTATGCATATCAAATGGTGAGACCTGATTTGAGGACTATAAAAAAAGAACAGGGGCGCCTGGGTGGCGCAGTCGGTTAAGCGTCCGACTTCAGCCAGGTCACGATCTCGCGGTCCGTGAGTTCGAGCCCCGCGTCAGGCTCTGGGCTGATGGCTCAGAGCCTGGAGCCTGTTTCCGATTCTGTGTCTTCCTCTTTCTCTGCCCCTCCCCTGTTCATGCTCTGTCTCTCTCTGTCCCAAAAATAAATAAATGTTGCAAAAAAAAAAATTGTTAAAAAAAAAAAAAAAGAACAGAAACCTGATGATACCCTACATAGCTGCCCCCACCCCAAAAAGGCAATTTAAACGGACACTTGGCTTTTAGAGAGGACAGTTGGTCAGATCGTACTTAAAATGACTAGTAAGTAATGTATGCTTGGGCAAGTTACCCTGGCTGTACTTGTTTCCTTAGTTGTAAAGTGGGGAGAGCTACTGTGCAGTGTTATATGAGCTAATATTTAGAACATTCAGAATAATGTGTGGCATATAGAAATGTTGTTTAAGTCAACATCGTGTCCAGTTCTGAGAACATCACTGTAAGAAGTCCAGTATCAAGAAAGGTAATTGGAGCAGAGGTTCTAGAAGTCACAATGTGAGTATTTAGCTTGAATAAGCATAGACTTTTGGGGAGGAAAGGAGAGTATCTTCAAGAATTCTAGAAGCAGGGGTGCCTGGGTGGCTCAGTTGGTTAAGCTTCCAACTTTGGCTCAGGTCATGATCTCAGGTCTGTGAGTTTGAGCCCCGCATCAGGCCCTGCACTGACAGCTCAGAGCCTGGAGCCTGCTTCCGATTCTGTGTCTCCCTCTCTCTCTGCCCCTCCCCTGCTCACGCTCTGTCTCTCTCTCTCTCAAAAATAAACATTAAAAAAAAAAAAAGAATTCAAAAGACTAAATGATAACATGATGACTGTGTAAGGGGACAGATATGTTAATTAACTTGATTGTGGTGATCACAATGTGTATGTATATCAAATCACACTGTACATACACCTTGAATATATACAGTTTGTCAATTACACATTAATAAAGCTGGAAAAACCATGAAGCACAAATTGACAAACTTGGAAGTGGAAATAGGCAATTCCACAATAATAGTTGGGAGATTCCTCGTTCTTAATCACAGATCGAGCCACCAGACAGAAGATAAGGAACTCAAGGACTTGAACAAAATTAACTAGATCTAACAAATATAGAGCACACTCTACCCAACAACAGCCCCAACTGAAGCTGCCAGGAACAGGGTGAGCCATTTTTGCTGAGTGGTGACCTCCCAGCTTGTGGAAAAGTTCAGACAGAAGTCAGAAAGTCACTTCTCAGGCTGCTATAAAGGGGACTCTGGCATTAATTCTTTTCCACTCCCTCCTAATTCTATGACAATGATTTAACTATAATGTTTTGGTTAATACAAGAGAGAATTTTGAAAAACATGTTTTCCCCATCTTCTTCCTCCCCCTTCCTTCAGCCCCTCTAAAGCAGGTTCCACACAGGGGTGGGTGGATCTTTGAGATATAACCGTGAATGAAACAAACACCTAAACAAGTTCCTGGCACATACTAGGCACCCAGATATCTGAAAGTGAATGAAAACTCGCTAAGTGTTTAATGTTACTATGCTTGTCCTCAAGATTAGCTGCTGTGATCACATACAGTTGATTTGCCCTTTGGGTAGTGATGTTGGAGGTATTTTTGTATGTAACAAGTCACTGATAACTTTCCACATTTCATTTTATTTTATTTTTTGTTATAATTTTTAAAATAGAATTCATTGTCAAGTTGACTAACATACAGTGTGTGAAGTGTGCTCTTGGTTTTGGGGGTAGATTTCTGTGGTTCACTGCTTACATACAACACCCAGTGCTCATCCCAGCAAGTGCCCTCCTCAATACCCATCACCCACTTTC